GTAGCTTTGGTACCAGGCATTCTTGATCATAAATATACCGCTTCAGCAGCTGACACCAGAGGCATTCTTGTAATAATTATACCGCTTCAGCAGGCTGGCACCAGGCGCATTCTTGTCATAAATATACCGCTTCAGCAGCTGGCACCAGGGCATTCTTGTCATAATTATACCGCTTCAGTAGCTGGTACCAGGGCATTCTTGTTCATAAATCTATACAGCTTCAGTCAGCAGCTTGGCACCAGGGCATTCTTGTCATAAATATATACCGCTTCAGCAGCTGGCACCAGGGCATTCTGTCATAACTATCTGCTTAAGCAGCAGGTGTACCCAGTGCCATTCTTGTCATAAATATCCCGCTTCAGCAGCCGGTACTAGAGCATTCTTGTCACAAATAGCCCGCTTCGGCAGCCGGTACCAGGGCATTCTTGTCAAAAATACCCTCTTTCAGCAGCAGGTACCAGGGCATTCTTGTCATAAGGTCAACCTGTCACATCCGCTTACTCCCTAATGTATTGTACGACTTGTCTTTGTCCATAGTTCTTTCTACTAATTTCTTCTCATGTTAATTGTATCTCGTCTTGTTTTACACACAGCAGCTCTTCTATGACACAGTATCTCTGTGATGATTTTACGACACTCACTGTTGTGTAATAAGTGTTCATGTTTTTACACTGGTAAACATAGAACTTGCCAAAAAGATTATAGTTATTATATTTGCCTAACTTAGAGCATCATGAGAGCTAAAAGACTGAATGGCTGGTGCATATTGAAAGAATGTCAGATGACAGAGAAGAAAATACAGTATACACAAGGGAGATTAATGGTGGTAGACCATGAGGACAATCAAGTAGACGATGGTAGAAATAATGACTAGCGGACGCTGCAAACACTTGGTAGTGTCACCAACTGGAAAAGAAAAAGCCAACCCAGAGAGATTTATGGAATGGGCTCGGAATGCTTAAGTAGAGGAGAAAAAGAGAGAATAACTTGTTGGACGATTAGTGAAAGATTATTCTGAAGCGGCAGAAAGAAATGTTGACAGACATTTTTGACAGACGGGCGGACGGCGGGCAGGCAGGCAGGCAGGCAGACAGACAGGCAGGCAGACAGTGCAGGCAGGCAGGCAGGCAGGCAGGCAGGCAGACAGACAGACAGGACAGACAGACAGGAACAGACTCGACGACCGACCGAACCGACCGACCGACCGACCGACCGACCGACCGACCGACCGCGACCGACCGACCGACCGCCGACGACGACCGACCGACCGACCGACCGACCGAACGACCGACCGACCGGACCGACCGACCCCGACCAGACCGGAACCGACGACCGACCGACCGACCGACCGACCCGACCTACCGACCGAGCCGACCGACCGACCGACCGACCGACCGACCGACGACCGACCGACCGACGACCGACCGACCCGACCGACCGACCGACCGACCGACCGACCGACCGAACCGATCGATAGATAGATAGATAGATAGATAGATAGATAGATAGATAGATATATAGATAGATAGATAGATAGATAGATTAGATAGATAGATAAGATAGATAGAATAGATAGATAGATAGATAGATAGATAGATAGATAGATAGATAGATAGATAGATAGATAAATAGATAGATAGATAGATAGATTAGATAGATAGATAGATAGATAGATAGATAGATAGATAGATAGATTAGATAGATAGATAGATAGATAGATAGATAGATAGATAGATAGATTAGATAGATAGATAGATAGATAGATAGATAGATAGATAGATAGATAGATAGATAGATAGATAGATAGATAGATAGATAGATAGATAGATAGATAGATAGATAGATTAGATAGATAGATAGATAGATAGATAGATAAAGTAGAAGGACGCGACTGACCGGCAGACGAACCCACGGACAGACAGACAAACAGACAGACGGAATGACACATACACAATCAAACGGACCGATAGACGGACGAAAATAATAGGTAGAACAGACAGTCAGACGGATAGGCGAATAAATGTATAGATCAGACAGACAACACTTACCTGTCATGATTCGATTCAGACCGTCCCGACCCCGCCCAGTCTCCTGCTCGCGTCCCCGCTGGAGCAGATGGCTATAGATGACGTCATTAGATTCCTCAACAATGCCGCCGGATGCATCAAATTTCCCAAGGATGTGGTTATTGTCCCCATGCCGGCTAGGCTTGACCCCTTCAGAAGTTCTCCCATCCGGGTCTTAGGGTGAGTGGCTGCTGCCCTTCCTCATCTTTGTTGTTGTCGCCGGCGTCGTCATTATTATCACTACAGTCATCGTAGTTGTTCTCAACATTACCATCATCGTCATCTTTTTTTATCATCATCATTAGCATTATCTTTATCATAGTCATAATTACCATCGCCGTCATCATCACCATCATCATTATCATCACAATATTTATCATAATTATCACTACGTCGCCATTATCATCATCACCATCATCTGTATCATCATCATCACCGTCATCTTAATCATCGTCATCACCATCATCATCTTTATCAGAATCATCACTACCGTCGCCATTATCATCATCAGTATAGTCTTTATCATTATCATCATCTTCACCATTATCACCATCATTCTTTATCATCATCATTATCATCAACTATAAAATCTTATCATCATCATCACGTCTTTTTAAAAACCATCCCCATCATCACCATCATCATAATCATCATCGTCATCATCATCTTCATCATCACCATCGTCATCATCATCACCACCATCATCATTGTCATTGTCTTCATAATTAGCACTATGACCTATCACAATCAGTGTCAAATGACATTCGGTGTTATTCCTTCTAATTACGTGTGTCTGTCTGTCCATCTATATGTTCCACATTCAGACCCATTTAGACTTTTGCTCAGCAATATGGCATGGTTGTTCTAGTTCAATCATCAAACGACTTACGTCGTTACAAAGAAGAGGATTAAGCTTAGTTACTAATAAAAATGAAAAAGACTACTCAGCCTACATGAAAATATTATGATATTGCCTTTCCATAAAAGTCTACCTTTCAATTACGACATGTGTGTACATCTTGTTCTCTAGCCACCGGACAGCTGCAGTTACCGCCTTCACCTCCATTCTCATGTCCACCGCTTATCGATGGAACTATCGTCCACAACAAATCACAATTATCACTAGTCCCAAAACATACAATTGGAAACTGAATATTTTCCAAATCCAGAATGCATGCTTCTTTGAGGGATAATATAGTATTTTAAGTATCTTGTAAATTTCTCTTAGATTTTTAACTTGATGTACTTAATATTAATACTGTTTAGAAATGTAAGCTTAACTATAACACATTCCAGCGATTGTAGTTAAGACTTAAATGTTGATTATTATTGTTATTATTACTATTATTACATTATCCGTAAAGTAATACGTCATAAGGTGTCTGTCTCTGTCTGTCCGTCTCTGTTATGTCTGTCTATTCATATGTCCTCCCATTTGTCTAAGTCTGTCCACTTGTCTGCTTGTCTATGAGCTTATTGTACTCTCAAATTTATGTGTGTGTATCTGCCATTGTCAAGTGAATTTGAAGGGGAAAAAAACAGAATTGAACGTCGCCCTTTTTTTTTGGGGGGGGGGGAGAGGGGGGTGTGTGGTCCTTTTACTTGCTCTAGTAGGCGTGGCGATAGCGTTTCGTAATGCCGGGTACGATCCCAGCTGCTGAAGGTTTGTTTTATACTGAGAGTTGACCGTTCAGTTAGCAATGATCACTAAAAAATCACAACAGTCAACAAATGCTGGGAATTTAAAAAATCACAATTGATCTTGGCAACCATGTAGTTTTTTACTACATCCCCACCTAATGCAGATTGGTCTTGAAAAAGATATGCCTAGCATCATATGCCCGATACGCTACTGGTTTGGAAAAACAGAGTCGGCTTTATTTTCTGACTACATACTTATATAGCAATGAATGGTGCCTCCAGGTGCGGTTATACCACCCTCACTATTGCAGGTCACTGCTTCGCTATGGGAAAGGCATCCAGGTTGTATTATGCAGAGGACGTCAATGAGATACTGAGTCAGGTGGCCACTTGTTATGTCCTATGTCATGCTGTGTTCCAGGCACTCCATGCGGTGAGTGGGGGATTGATACTTGACTCGTGTAGTCCGTGAGTTGTGGCTGGGTTTGCTTGAAGTGGTTGTGTGGATGGTCGTTTTTTGGCTAGGCGGTTGACTGGCTAGAACGTGGGTTTGCTGGGTGGTGGATTTGCTGGTTGGTTGCTTGAGTGTTTGTGTATGATGCTGGGTGGGTGGGTAGTAGGTGTTGGGTTAGTTGGGTGGTGGGTTAGCTGGTGGTGGGTTAGTTGAGTGGTTGAATGAGTAGTTGTTTATAATATTGGTTGGGTGGCTAGTTGGTGGGTTAGCTAGGTATTAGGTTTTCTGTATGGTTGCGTGATTGTGTGGATTATTCGTAGGTTGTCTTGGCGGGGGGTTGATTGCGTGGATGATTCGTGGGTTGGCTGAGTGGTGGGTTAGCTAGATGCTGGGTTGGCTGGGTCGCTCATTAATATTGTTGCTTTATCATATGGAGTCTATTGTTTAGTATGAAATAATTCGATTTGCTAGGTCATGCATTAATGTCACTGCTGTATCACAGAGTCTATAGTTTAGCATGGAGTAATTAGATTTGGTAAGTCACTCATTAATGTCACTGCTTTGTAATATAGAGTCCGTTATTTAGCATGGAGTCATTAGATTTGTTGGGTCACTCATTAGTTAATGTCACTGCTGTATCATATAGAGTCTAAAGTTTAGCATAAAGCTAGGTCACTCATTACTGTCACTGCGTTATAATATAGAGTCTATAGTTTAGCATGGAGTCATTAGATTTAATAAGTACCTCATTAATTTCACTGCATTATCATATAGTCTGTAGTTTAGCATTGAGTCATTAGATTTGCTAGGTCACTCATTAATGCATGTGTGTTATTCAGAGTGGCGGCAAGGAGTCGGTTAGGGCCCTCTTCGACAGTCTCATCTTTGATGGCTTCGCTTCAGCGATCATACCAAGTACACTGACAGTTTACGTCATCAGGTGAGACGGATCCATGTCTTTCTGTCTGCCACAAAAACTATCTCATCTCCGCAACAGAAGTTGGCTGCAGTGTATTCAAGGCTAAAAAAAAAGTAAAACTATAATAATTAACAAGAACAGAAGAAATACTGAAATTTTAAAAAGATCTGAACTTCACGGAAGATTGGCTAATAAACAGTATCTTGTCGCGGAAGCTGAAATAGTTTGGTCATATCAAGCACAATCGCGAACTGTAAAAAAAAATTAGCAGAAGGCATGGTATCAGGAAGGAGGGGCAGGGTCCGACCAACACGAAGATGGGAACAAGATATAAGTGACTCCTTGAGTATGAAAGTACAATAGGCGGGATGAGCTGGCGAGAGACCGATTTTCTTTCAGGCAGACCGTGATGAGAGCGACGTTCTGCAAAGAACCTGTTACATGATGATGGTAATAAACAATGGAAAAGAAGACCAACAGTGAACATTACAGTAAACAGAGAGATATTAGAACAAGTAACAACTTTCTCCTATCTTGGGCTCAAAATAACAAATGGCGGCAAAATAAAAACTGAAATCAAAAAGAGAATAGGAATGGCTAAAACTGTCTTAAAAAGGATGCGAAAAATTATTGACAGCTGCAAAGATAAACAACAACAACAACAACAACAACAGAAAAACCAGAATCCCTAAATGTTATGTAAACTCAACTTTGTTGTATGGTACAGAAGCATGGATCAAATTGAATTGAGTCTCTGGAAATGTGTCGTATTTCGTAGAAACTACTAAATAATCAAACAGAGGTTCTGGAAAGGTTACGAATGAAATGACTATTGCTGAAAGCAATTTTTTTTTTTAATTTAAAAAAAAAAACACTGAAACATTTTGTCATATTAAAAGACAAAAAACTCTTTTATAAACTTTACTTAGGGAATGGGAGGCAGAGGGCCAGGGAGCAAGAGGTAGATAACGATACAAGTGGGAGGATAATAACAGCGAGAGATGGGGCGCCTGAGAGAGTGTATAATCAGGACAAGAGACAGGGCCTGTTGGAGATCAGCTGCAGCCAAGCTACCTTGTGGAGACGACACCTCATTGATTGATTGATCGATTGATTGATTGATTGATTGATTGATTGATTGATTGATTGATTGATTCATCCAACGCTATGTATGAGAACATTACACTGTGAGGTCGAAAGCTCTTCCACAATGCAACTCTCGTACCATTGTCTTCTAAAAGCCAGGATAACGGTCCTTTTTCTAAACCGCCCTTTGCGGGACTTGAACCCCTGTAAACGTCGATGATTACATTATGAAACGATTTGGCTGACATCTAAACCACAATGATTTCTGTCACTGAACCCCTACAGTTCAAGTGGACAGGTTCGACTTCATTGCACCGGGTTTTTATCTCAAATGGCTCGGTCTCTCTCCACAGAGAGGCTACCCGCTGACCGACAGTGTAGTACAAGGTACGAATTCCGTAACTCTAGTGCTGATCCCTGGGGATTTCGGCTAGAATGGCGCTGGTAAACCGAACAACGCCACGACTTTCAGATAGCACAGTAAATGACTTTGACCTGTCCAGTTTATGTGTGTGTGTGTGTGTGTGTGTGTTGTGTGTGTGTGTGTGTGTGTGTGTGTGTGTGTGTGTGTGTGTGTGTGCGTGTGTGTGATAACTCTGTCTACTAAAGTGGTATAGATATCCTAAGGTGTTGCTTGTAAACTTTGAGGCTGGTGTTTTTTTAACACTGTCTATCCCATCTAGTTGTTTGTTAACACAGTGTTACCTCAGGTAGTTGTTTGTTAACTCTGTTTATCAGATGTAGTTGTGTGTTAACTATATTTATCTAGTGTAGTATTTTGTAAGCTCTATTTGTCTTATATAGTTGTTTGTTAATTGCAGACTTCCTATGTAAGTTTTTTGTGTGTGGTGGGGGGGGGGGGGGGACTCTAGTTATCCCATTTAGTTGTGTGTTAACTATATTTATCTAGTGTAGTAGTTTGTCAGCTCTATTTGTCTTATATAGTTGTTTGTTGATTGCAGACTTCCTATGTAAAAAGGGGGGGGGGGGGGGGGGGGGGGGGGGGCTCAGTTATCCCATGAAGTTGTTTGTTAACTGTAGATATCACGTGTAGCGGTTTGTTATCTCTGTTTTATCTTATTTAATTGTTTGCTAACTCTATTTATCACATGTAGGTGTGTTTTACTCTGCTTGTCTAGTGTAGTAGTTGTAAGCTCTATTTGTCTTACATAGTTGTTTGTTAAATGTAGATGTCCTATGTAGTTGTTTGTAAACTCTAGTTAAATTCAGATATCATGTGTAGTTTATTTTTAAAACTTAAATATCTAGATATCCCATGAAGTTGTTTGATTACTCTAGACTCTCCAAGTAGCTGTTATTAACTCAAGATATCCTATGTAGTTGTTAGTTAACTCTGTTTATCTTGTGAAATTGTTTGTTAATACTAGATAACCCTTGTAGTTGTTTGTTAACTCCTGATGTCCTGTGTAGTTGTTTGATAACTCTAGACACTCCAAGTAGCTGTTATTAACTCAAGATATCCTATGTAGTTGTTAGTTAACTCTGTTTATCTTGTGAAATTGTTTGTTAATACTAGATAACCCTTGTAGTTGTTTGTTAACTCCTGATATCCTGTGTAGTTGTTTGATAACTCTAGACACCCTCCCCTTCCCAACTGCTCCTGCTTCCCATGTATCCACACATTGTTAACAGTCTTCAATCACTAACATTAACATAACCATTCTCCTCCCACGTATCTTCCCTTACCACCCTCAGACTAACGACCGTGTTCCTCCGAGAGATCAACCCAGTACCGTCCCTGGTGCTCCGCTGGGGACCCGTGGTGTCCGGGTTGGCAGCGATAGTGTTCACCTATGACTTGATCGACAGGTGTGTGGACCAGGCGCTGGACGAAACGATCAGGAGCCTGTATTGAGAATCCTGAAGCACCCAGTCTGGTTTTGCTTCTTCTTGATGGTTGCTCTGGCGGCCTTGAATTCTGTAGCCCCCCCCCCCCCCCCCCCCCCCCCCCTTTTTTTCCCCCCCAACAAAAAAAAATATCTGTTTAAATGAGTCTCAACTGTTTCTTCAATAAATGTGATATCCCCTGATCGAGATGTTCATTATTGTATTGTTGCCATCATTGTATCATCGTATCACATTATCATATCATCATCACCACCATCATTATTATCATAACATCATCGCATAATCGTCATTATCATATCAGCATCAAATGATCCTCATATCATCCTCCTCATCATCGTCATATCATCACCGTCCGTCATCATATTATGATCACATTATCTTATCGTCATATCAGCATCATATCAACATCAACATATCAATATCATCATTTCATCATCATTAAATCAACGTCGTCATATCATCATCATATCATTATCATATCATCATCATATCATTTCTTTTTTCTTTTTTTCTTCTTTTTGTCAAAATCTGCTTGTGCCGCTAGGCGTCGCAGTCTATCAGATGTTCGGCAACCGAGCCAGGGCGCGCTCAGTCGCTTCATATGCCGTGATGTTATGAAGTCTCAAGTTGTCCGTGACTCCTTCAATCCATATTCTTCTTGGTCTTCCCCTGCCTCTTGGTGTTTCGATTTTCACATCATATCATTATCATATCATAATCATATTATCATTGTATCATCATTATACAAGTGTAATACCACCATCATGTTCTTTTTTTTCCCGTCTGCCGCAACTGCTACTGCAACTATTACTAAAATTACTACAACTTTACTACTGCTATCACCAACGCCATCACCACCGCCTCCACTACTACAACTACTAACACTACTACTGCTGCGCCTGATACAATAACTACTAACATTATCACCACCACTACTGCTTTTACTACTACCGCCGCTGCTGCTGATACAACATCAACTACTACTGTTATCACCATTACTACTATGTCTACTGCTGATACAACATCAACTACTACTGTTATCACCATTACTACTATGTCTACTGCTGATACAACATCAACTACTACTGTTATCACCATTACTACTATGTCTACTGCCTCTGCTGCTGCTGATACGAATGCTGTTACTACTACTGTTATCACCGCCACTACTACTTCTACTGCTTTTTAAAATGCTGCTGCTGATACAACAACTACTACTATTATCACCATCCTATTACAACTGTTATTTCTACTACTGCCACCTATCACTACTACAACTACTACAACTACTACTGCTTCTGCTGATACGTGTGCTGTTACTACTTCTGTTATCACCGCCACCACTATTTCTACTAATTTGTATAATGCTGCTGTTGATACAACAACCACTACTATTATCACCATCCCTACTACAACTGTTATTTCTACTACTGCCACCTATCACTACTACAACTACTACAACTACTACCACTACTGCGTCTGCTGATACAACTACTACTTTTATTATTACCACCACCTCTACTTCTATTACTACTGCTGTGCTGATGCTATTACAACTACTACAACTATCACAAACATTACTACAACTATTACTTCTGCTGCTACTACTACTATTATTATCATTAACACAACCACTACTTCTATCACTACTACTGTGCTGATGCTAATGCAACTACTACAGTTATCACAACCATTACTACAACTACTACTTCTGTTACTCCTACTACTACGCATGATCGTACGCATCAGAGTCGTACTTAAGCTGTAAAAAGCCAAAGTAAAGGACCATTTTCAACGCCTTTAGGCGTAATAGGCATATAGGGTTAGACCTATTTTTTATAGACTGTATGTATGCGTGTGGATCTATGACTGTATGTATGAGTGTGGATCTATGACTGTATGTATGAGTGTCGATCTATGACTGTATGTATGAGTGTGGATCTATGACTGTATGTATGAGTGTGGATCTATGACTGTATGTATGAGTGTGGATCTTTGACTGTATGTATGAGTGTGGATCTATGACTGTATGTATGAGTGTGGATCTATGACTGTATGTATGAGTG